AAATGTTTGGTGTATATATGGAGAATGGATTGGACAGATAAAATTTGGGATGTGTATTATAACAAGACATAAAAGTTTTAAATTTCATTAATTAATTCTATATTTATTAAATATTAACTCTAATATTTTATGAATAATTATCTGAAGACATTACTGATAAAGACATAAGGGCGAGTGAGATTTGAAAGGTTAAGGTTCGTGGTGTGTGAGAGGTTAAATAGCCATCTCGGACGGTGAATAAAGAAAAATTGAATTTATTTAAGGAAAGGGAGTGGAGGATGGCGATATCCAAAAGGAAGGACTACACAGCACTGAGTCAAAGGGCATTGGGTCCATGATGGCACCAAGAGTATACTTGGGACAGTGAGACAAGGAAGAGCATAGAAGAGGTGACAGGAGAGCCTTGGCTGGGCTGCTTTGGCTCAGTCAGAAGTCAGAGAGAGAAGGGGGTCTTGGAGACAGGGTCAGGGGTAAGCTTGGGATGAGCTGCCACTGCCCATTGCTCCTCTGGTTGCAAGTTTCGTGGGGTCCCTTCAGAGGGACAAAGGGGAAAGCGGATGGCACTGGCATGCTCCCCTGGTGGGGAACACACGCTGTGTCCTTTGTCCTGAGGGCATTTATCTCCTTCTCACAGGTGGAAATCTTAGGGGAAGCCTCAGGGGAGGGTCTCAATAGAATATTCATAAGCTTTCCAGGTGTGCTCTTCCAGTGTCCTGGTCTACACTGATTGGTTGGTGCCAGGGCAGGAGGTGATTAGTCAGTGAGGCAGCCACAGTGCCACTTGTCTGGTTTTGCTGCTTTTCTGGGCCTGGAGTTGAAATACAACTGAGGCCTAGACATTTTCTTTAGGGAGGAAATGCTCAGGGGGTCTAAGCCACATTACCAGTGATATGCTGGGGGAGGATAGGTTACCCTGGGACAAGGTTCTTGTTTTCCCAGTTTTGCCCCTTGCTAGGCATCCGGGACTTTCTGCCCTGGCTAGTCTCTTTACCTGAGTTAGCCTCTGCTCCTATCAGTCTAACAAGATTATCTTGGGAACAGAATAACAGAAGCCAGACAACAAAACTTGGAGAGAAGTAACATATAACAGCATTTTACCAAAGCAAAAATTCTGAACATCAATTTAGATTGGAATTTTTCAATCCAGCCTCATGAAACATTTATTTAATCTTAGAGTGGAAAATTCAGTTAATTAAAATTTCCAAATACTATTATTTTCTTAAAAGTATCATACCTTCAGAATTCAGTGGGCTCAACCTTGACTTAATTTTCTAAAATAATTATATTCAAACTCTAAAAGTAACAAAAAGAGTTAGTTATGAAAATAACTCCCCAGGCCTTCACTGCACTATTGTCTGTGGCCATGAGTTATGCATATATGCATATAAGTTCTTTGGTTAATCTCTTCCCACCCCCTCTGCCCCCTTCCTTCTGAGATTCACCAGTTTGTTCCATGCTTCAAAATAAAACATGTTTTTCAAAATAAATATTGAGAGTCATTCTTACAATTAACAATAAAATGCTTTTAGTAAGACCAAAAGACTGCTAGAGAGAAAAAGAGAGCAAATCTCAGAAATATTTAAAGGAGATATATATTAATGTATTGAAAATATATTTTAAAATTGTAATGTATAAAATATATTTTTAAATAAGCTCAAAATTATTGAATTTGTAGATAAATCATATTTTGGGATCAACTGGGAAATAAATATGTTAATCATTTACTCAAAAGAGTCTCATCTACCTTTAAAAGTCCTAAGGCAAATTTTCCAGTTTTCTTTGTGCCTCAATTTCAACTTCTGTAAAACGTAGAAAATAATTTTCCTTGTCTTACAAGGCTGAAAGTTAAATACATTAATATACATAAAGCTCTTGGGGCAGTGCCCTGCACATAACACAAGCTTAGTACATATTTCCTACCAAGAATTTTTAGTCTTTTGAAGTGTTCTGTGAAGAAAAGCTTCTTCTATAAAAAAATAAAAATTTAAGAAACAGATCACTGAGAAACCTCAGATTCATAAACTCATCAACAGATTAAGTATTCAGATAGTGTAGAGTGAAGAAATCTACTTCATTCTATCTAATTCTTTCTCATATTAACTGGAACATAAAAATGGGGGGTTGCTAATATTATCATTATTTATATATTCTAAGGAACCCATTTGGGGCATTGCTGCTCCAAAGAAATTATAACTGAATAGACATAGCAATTATGTGTAAATCAGAAGTATGGAAAATATAATAAACTCTATTGTTCATCTCAGTCTCAGCTCTAGATCTCAATCTATGACATAGCTATTGTAATTTATCTGCACAAATTTCAACCTTTTCTGTGCAAAAAGAATATCACTTCAGCCGTGCAGTGGTTTCTCTTGTTTCCTGTCTTGGTGCTTTCCTGATGCACAGGGTGGGATGCCCACAGGAGCCCATTTAGCAATCACACACGTACAACATTGAATCATGTGGTAGTTATTACCCAAGGGACAATTTTCAACCAGAGAGGATGTACTTGACACATAACCACTTGTTTTTTTCATTATGGATAGATAATTCTGGGATGTATTTCATATCCTTCTGCTTTGAAGTTCCCAGCAGGATTGAGCACTTATTCACACATAGTAGTGATCAACTAGTAACACCTTATTGTGTTAATTGTCTCCCTCTTTCTACTTCCATTCTCACAGGTCCTTCACTGCCACAAATGAGATCACTTTTCAAATGACCTGCCTACATGCAAACTCTCATCTCAGGCACTGATTTCTGGAGAGCCTAAGCTGAGGACTGATATATAGACTGCTATAAGATGAGGACATATATAATATATATTATATGCTCTATTTACAACATAATGTAGACAATAAATCTTTTGCTTTCTATTTTTGAGCTCAGTACGTTAGCTTTAAGGAATCATGTTTGATACATAATTCACATTCTACATCTGATAAAGGAGGGAAGAAGAAATTTTTTTTCACAGAATGTCTTATTCCAAGAGTTATGTGAGTTGGAGTTGTAAAAAATATTATAACTATCATTCTTACTTTTACTTAGTAAGCTCTTCAGTATAGTGACCTTTAGTATAGTAAATAAGGTATACATTTTACAACCAAAACACAATTGCACGAACAACAAGAATTGTGGTCACTGGTAATTGTTGATAACAGAATTGATGTGTCTATGTGGTCTAAAAATCTATTTTTTTCTTAAACTCGTTGTGTCCTTTGGTAAGTATGTTTGTTGAAATATGATGAACCTTAGATTATTTTGATTTGCTAAATGATTTTTAAAATTTGTTTTAAGAATGAAGGAAAAATTTACATCATAAAAGAAAAATAAATCATATTCAGTAATTCAATAAATAAAATTCTTTGCTATCAGGAAAAGAAATCTGAAAGAAAAGAAATTCAATAAATGAAAATTTTTTTCCATCAGGATAAGGGACAAAATTAGACAGAAATAATCTACTTTCCATAATGAAGCAGGTTTTAACTTTAATCTACATTTACATTTGAACTATTTTAAGAATAGGATAAATGAAGGTCTTTTGCTTTTAATGTTGACCTTAAAATATCATATCAAATTTAAATATTGTCTTCATTGATTAAATGGGAAAGCCAAGATCTCGTGGCTTGGAATATCCTTGCGTTTGGCAGAGCCCTTGGAGACAGGCCCCAGATTGACTTCAGCTGGGATGGCACATGTGGATCCCTGGGTGATTCATTTCCAGATGGAAACATGTGCTAAAAGAACTACAGTTCTAACATGAAGCAATCATGGAGAAAATGTTTCTGAAATTGAAGAAGGTCATGATGTCTGGTCTGAAGTAAAACCATCATAGAGTAAGGTCATATAGCAAAAATAAATCAAAACCGTCTTAGTAGTTATCACCCTCTATAAATATTACACCTTCTACTTTCAATGACTAAAGGCAAAGGAGTCTTTTTAAGAAACTGAGAAGTTACAGCAAAGTCTTGTAAGCAATTTCAGCTTATTTTTTTTTTTCGGTAGAGGAAATTCAACACTTTAAATGTCAAACTATTGGAAAATATAAACAAACATTTTCCTTTGAAAAAATAACTTAGATTTCTTCAAACATACATAAATGTTAAAGGCCACAGTATACATTAGAAACACACAAAGGAAAAGCACTTGGGAAAAGTTAAAGTAGGTTGTCACAGAAGGAAGGGAAAAAAGAAACATATTCCCTTGATTGAAACCAATACACGGTCTGTTTTGTATGGTCATTATTTGTGGAAATATCTTATTCCTGAACCATAATAAGAGGACCAGGTAAAGAGGCTATTATTGCCTACATGGCCTCCTCTAGTGTCAATATAGTGCATTCTCAAAAACTTTGGTTAACATGAATTTAAATTTATAAATTCAAAACTGCTTGAAGAAATCATATGTAAAAATAATATGATCCTATGGTTAATAATATGCATGGGGAAAATGTGTTCTCTTGTGGGAAAGTCATGGTTACAAATCTAGCACTCAAGCAATAATATCACAAGAAGCAGAACAAAGATGAAAGACTGGCTCTAACTCTATCATCAAATCTGGCATTATATCATGTGGTCTATGGACTCACATATACTGTGTGATGTGGTGCACCAGAAGGGAGCCTATACTTGGATATATATGTACTTTCTTTATTTTTATTGTTGACACTATTATAGATGTCCCCATTTTCCCCCCTTTGCCTGCTTCCACCCAGCCCCAAGCCCCCTTCCCTCTGGCCATCACCACATTGTTGTCCGTGTTTATGGATTATGCATATATGCTCTTTGGCTAATCCCTTCACCTGTTTTCATCCATTCCAACACCCCTCCCCTCCACACGCACCGGCAGCTGTCAGTCTGTTCCATGTGTCCTTGCCTTTGTTTCTGTTTTGTTCATCAGTTTATTTTGTTCATTAGATTCCACATATAAGTGAGATCATATGGTATTTGTCTTTCTCTGTCTGGCTTATTTCACTTAGCATAATAATCTCCAGGTCCATCCATGCTGTACCAAAAGGTAAGATTCCCTTCTTTTTTATAACCGTGTAGTAGAATTCCTTTGTGTAAATGTATCACAGCTTTTGTGTGTGTGTGTGTGTGTGATATATGTGTGTTTTTAAGTAAAAATCCAAAGTACCATATTTTCAGTCTTTTAGACCCCAGCCTCAGCCCAAAGTGTCTGGGTTCTATCTTTCAGTGAGAGAGAGAGATCATAGATCTTTTTGTCCCAGGAAAGCCAATTATTCACTTTTTCTTGATCACCTGTATGGTATATAATCTGTGATGGAAAACAAAATTAAATAAGAATCTCATAGCACTGTATACTCATACTTTTAAAAAGTTAATGTTAAATTGTTTTTTCTTATAACATATATTTTTTAAATTTTGGAGGAGCAAGGAGAAAAACTCTTGGAATAAATAACTATATTTTGCCAAGGAGACTTCAAATCAGGACTCTCAATCAAGCGTGAACATATGGTATTAACTCACCACTGGCATTAGCTAGTGAATCCTGCAGTACAGAGTTCATGTGAAAATCAGCAAAGTCAAACTTTGGGGTACTTCAGTGAGTAACTTAATAACAGTACATCTTGAATATGCTGTTTTTGGCAGAGTTAGTGTTTGTTCTGGGGTAACTTTAAATCTTGAATTCTGTTTTGTCAGAATGAATGTGACCATATTCATTATGAAAATAAAATTTTATGTTTTAAAATAAAACCTGAGTGTAGCTGCACCAAAAAGTTAATAGTCTTTAAAGAAAAGACTCATTGAACATCTTTTGCTAACTCATTTTTTTCCTTTTTCTTCCATTGTTGTTTTTTTTAACTGAAAAGTCCATGACTTGATGGACTGGAACAGAGAACATTCTGACAGGTTTTTAAAATGAAAGGAGGGGAAAATTCCCAGAGATCCTCATCCCATGTAAATTCTTCTGACCCTGTAAACAGAAGTGTCACTGCTATTCAAAGTGATAAATTATGGTTGGAATTATTCTGCCTAAAAAAAATAAATTTATAAATAAATCAGTTTTCAGCCAGTGTCTTAATGATTATGACAGTATAGCGACAATGAAGATGACCTCTTTTGTTCTATGAATTAGTATTGTCCTTATCAGACAACACATGCTTCTATACAACCTTGTTAGGTATTGGTATGCTATAGAAAAACAAAATTGCAAAATAAAGCACAGATATTCTTTTCCAAATATTGGTTTTAGTATAAACAAAATCAAGACTATTTTTGTGTGATTGACCAAATATACCCTACCATTAAAGAACTTATGACTTCTCTGGTGATCTTTGCTATTCCACCTTCCACAGAGTGTTTCTTCCAGTTTAATTATATTACAGCAGACAAAATTCTCCAGTAATATGTGAACTAATATGGAACTACAGGCACAAAAACACATGCATTTGCAGGGTATGTCAGGAAAGGGCACATTGGTTAAGGATCATGTGAAGGTCAAGTCCAACCTAGGAAGGCACTGCTGCCTCCAAGGCAGCCTGAGGGGCTGGTGCCCCAGACACACTTTACCTCCCACAGCATTCCATCACAGGGTCATCGCCCAACTTCTCTCTTTCTCAGTTTGATCACCTACCAAATGGGAAAGAATTTATCAGCCTTATATGTTTAGCCTTATATGTGAAGTCTCCAAAACTTCGCAAAATGAACTGCATGAATATATCTAGCCCAACATGATACATGTAACTGCCCGCCTTTACCTTAAAATTCAGTCTTAATTTTTTGGGAATTCTAAATGTGAATTGTTGAAAACTAGTTTAAAGTGTGGTATTTGTTAAATTGTATTTGTTAAGTACATGATTTCTCATGTTAGGAGCTCTGCTTCCCCTGCTTCTTGGCATTTACAATCTCTATACTGTGAGCACAGTTATATTATACAGTTAGACACTTACAGAATCTTAAGTGTATCCATAAGTCAGTGCAAATTGAAAATGGCACGCTCATTTTCATGCTAATAATAGTATTTATGTACCACTCTATGAGGTACTAATCACCATTACGGAAATGATTTTGTTTTATTCTTGCAAAAATGCCTTGCAGTGGGGAAACCAGATGCAACATTATGCTTATCTTACTGATGAGAGGGTCAGGCTCAGAGAGGTATTGGCTAGTCCAAGGACACAGAGCTGGTAAATGGGAGAGCCCAAATTTGAACATGTCTTTTTTGTGTGACTATAATTTTCCAAGTTGTTTAAATTAGCCCAGGTTTAAGGTCTTAGAAAAATTACATTAAACATAAAGGGAATCATATTGCAGGACATTAAGTTTTTTATTAAGTTTGCTTGGTTGGACCTTATAACTTTTTAAATATTTGTGATGTGTAGTTTGATTGTATAATTGATAATGATGACAGTCACAAAATGATGGAGTACAGTCTATGAATCAAATATATCACTTAGTTTATAGCAAACTTGAACTTATCCGAAGAGTTTCTATAGAGCAAATGTCTAATTATCTGGGACAAAAATTAGCCCTCACCATTGGTTGCACAAGTGCTGGAAGTTCTTAAGAAGGGACTCCAAAAAACATAACAAGTGTCAGAGGAATGGCTCTATTTCAGTTTACCTGTGAGTGGTGTTGGCATTGGGGAAGCAAGTCCCTTCTTCACAGGAGGGGTTGAACATGTGGCAAAGTGAGGAAAGACTAAGGCTAAGGAAGGATCAAAGAAAGAAGGATTATTGGGACCTCATTTTTATCTTTGGTATAGATAGGTTCACATATTTGAAACCTAGGAAATATTGCCTTTTGTCATTATGCATATTTTAGGCTCAGAAATCCTGGCCAGAAGGTGTATTCTAACTGGTATGGTCTTCACTTGTAGTTTTCCTCACAAACTTAGATGTTTTATCAAAGTAGGGATTTAGATTTTTTTGGTCAAATGTTTATGCCACTTATTTGCACTCCATGTCATTTTTTTATACTCTAATCACTAGCAGGTTCAGAAAGTTACTTAAACAGGAGACATTTCTACAAATTCTTTTAAAGTTTCCAAGTAGCTTGTGTTTGAGAAAAACCATTCAGGTAGTTTTTGTTTGGATGGGATAATGTTCTAAGTCTTGCGTGTAATCCATGAGTTGTTCATTATCTTCATTAATCTTTGACTGTTTAGACATTTCTGATGAAAAGAAATATTTTATTGTCATCCAATATTATTGTTGGATGAACAAGGTAAGAACAATTCATTCTTTTTATGATGTAAAATAATATCTGTTCAGAGCAGCTAATGACCTAATTTTTAAACCATTAAATAATTTTTTCTATAATAAAAACAACTTTATTATTAAAATCATTTTCTAATGTTTTAAATAATCTCACATTAGAAAATTTAAAACTTGATTGAAATAAAGATGAAGGTTCATAATTGTCACTTTTTTAATTGTCACTTTTTATTTTTTTTAAATCATCACCCGAGGACATGCTTATTGATTTTAGAGAGAGAAGAAAGGAGGGAAAGAGAGAGAAAGAGAAACATTAATATGAGAGAGAAACATCAATTGGTTGCCTTCCCATATGTGCTCTGACCGGGGATTGAACCTGCAGCCTAGGTATGTGCCTTGATCAGGAATCAAACCCACAACATTTTGGTGTTTGGGATGACGTTCCAACCAACTGCGTCACACTTGCCAGGGCCATCATTGTAATTTATAATTCAATTGCTTTGATCTATATGTGAGTCCCTAATTTTTCTTGTTCTATTTTAAAATTTTGACACATAAGCATGTAAGGTAGAAATTTTAGCAGGAGTTCGTAAGTTTGTCAATATTTTATATATAGACTTTATTTTAGAAAGAGTCCTCTAAAATTCTTTAACAAGTTTTTAAACTATTTTTTTAAACAAAGAAATAAAGGTGTTTTAAATCTCACTACACTCTTTCTCCCCACATCCATGCCTTCCAACCTCCCCTCCATAACAGCCCAGGTAATGTTGTACCTTTACAGTTAACTTTTCCCAACTGCACTCTTTCTTGATATCAGCTCTGACTACTCTATGTATCACTTTTACAAACACCAATGTCCAGTTTCTCACCCCTGCCAACTATCAGAATCCCTGGGTGGGGCCAAGACACCATTTTGTTTAGAAATCTCTTTAGGTGATTTTAATGGGCAACTGGGCTTAAAACCCCACTGCTCAACATTTCCCTCACAGTTTCTCAGTGATGGCATTGTTCCCCACCCCTCCACACCTGGTCATGGCCCAGCACACTCCTGAGCACACACAGGTCTTGGTTAAACATAAACCATTTATCCTGTGACCAATCTGTATACCCTAATAGAGTAAACTGCTCAACTCTCAATTACCAACTTAATAACAGTGTCTTTACCTAGAGAACAGCACTTTGTTTTTTTATATATAGACAAATTCTTATAGGAGGGTCTAATCACAATACTGTTATCTCTCCTGTGCCCCTTTATTTTTTTCTAGGAAGTGCAGGTGATAGACTAGAAGAAAGTGGGCCTTTGAAACAGACAGATGTGGACTGAAATCCCAATTATACAATTCATGAGCAGCATACCCAGGTAAATGGTTTCACTGTGTTGAATTTCAGCTTCCCTAGATGTAATATGGGGTAAATATTGCTCTACAGAGTTGATTGGAGAATTAAATAAGAGTACATATATAAGATGCCTGGCACATAATAAGTTTTCTAGAAGTATTAGTTTCATTCTCTTAAAAGAACTTATACTTTAAAACAGTAGTTTTTACATTGAATTTCTAGGAGCATAGAGCTCAGCGGTAGAGGCCTTGGGAAAGCCAGGTTCCACCAGAGGAGCTTTGATCTATATTATTGAGTGACTTTTGACATGAGATGTCATATAATGAAAGAATTCTATTGAAGGAAAAAATGCATAAAAGCCACTGATCTGTGTTATTATAGCAGCTACAACTTGTGTTTTTCCTTCTTTGTGCACATAATTCACTGCAAAAGCACATGTTGATTTATTTATATCATTAGTTCTAATATTGGCTTTAAAACTTGTTTTTAGATATTAAAAAGTATTTTGGTACTCTACTTGGATTACAATAAAAAGTCAACTTTAGAAAATTTTAAATTTATTTTTTAATTACAATTGATGTACAGTATTATATTAGCTTCAGGTGTACAACAGTGAGGAGACATTTATATAACTTATGTGACAAGTAGAAAATTCATATTTTAGATGTAGTTAAAGTACATAAAAATGTAGCTTTAAAAGGGTTTTAAGGAGTCAATGGAACTAAGTCAATACCAGGAAGAGAATAATTGAGAAGGGTAGCTTATTCAAGATGATCTCATAGAACATGTAATCTTTACCTCATTTCAACTATAATAAAAATGAATGGGACCAACAGTAGTCTGGAATTTCTATAGATACCAGTCTCTTTAGTTGTTCATTGTTTCCCAAAATAGCAGAGGATACATGATTTTGTTGCTGTTTCTAATTTAACAAATATAATCACATTACTATAAACATAGTTGCTTATCATAGCCATCCAAATTTCTGGAAAATATTAAGATTTATTGTCAAAGTAATGAGAACAAAAAAATAAGTTGTTCCTTAGCGTACTTTCTGTTAGGCATTTCCGGTTGCTTTCTGTATTCTTTTTATTTGCAATTATGACTGCAGCTGAACTTCATTACTATTTGCTCTCTCTCTCTCTCTCTCTCTCCCTCTCTCCCTCTCTCTCTCTTACACTTGTGGATGTGGTATTTCATTAAGTGGCTAACAATACCAGGTAAAGTTTACCTGTAAATTTTTCTTGGCTCACCCACAGTGTTTTCTTCCTTGATGCATAGTTCATTGTAGTCTTCTGAATTCCATTTTGACATGCAGCACAAAAGGATCTTCAACAGCAAAACCCATAAATAGGCAATGTAGCCAGAGGCAAGAAACAGCTCATTAAAATGTCAAATGAAAGCCTTGGTACTTGAAATTTCTTTGGTGTTTTGTAGACTACACAACTTGGGTTCCTGTGATTCTACATGCGTAGTCAGTGTTTACAGTTTTAAAGCATGTATTTATCATTCATGTCTTTCAAAGTAACTTTTCAATAAAATTAATAAAGAAGTGAGATAACACTGAGAACACATTGATGCTTGTTCAACTTGCTTCCTGGAAGTGATAGACTTACATGCAACTTGTAGCAGTTTTGTTCCACATAATGTTAGCATATTAGTCTACCTCAAACATTTATAACCATTTTGTTTGTGGAAAAAACATTGCCAAGCCAGACCAGGTAATGCATTTAGATGTTGTAAAATCAAGATAGCACATGATGTAAATGAACTTCAAGTTGACCAGTCACATATTCTCTTGGAAAACTAGCAAGGCTAGTCCCTTCATTAAATTTATTTGATGAAACAAAAAAACAAAAAGTGCAGACTATTTGAAGATTAGTTTAATACACTTCCCTTAAAATTACTGTGTGCCAGATATGGTACTAAGCCTGGAGATAAAACAGAAATGTAATCTCTCCCTGAAGGAAATCACAATTATGTCAACAAATGGTGTCAGAACAGTGTGGTAATTCCAATAATGGGCTTGGATATAGGTTACATTGATGGAGGGCATAGAAAAGGAACTGATACATTCATTCTGGAGAACAGCCACATGAGATTACACAGAAAAGGACTGAGCTGGGTGTTGAATGATTAAAAAGGAGATGTAAGAAACAAAAAGTATGGGAAATAATAGGTAGGTGAGTACTCGCGTCAGAGGAAAGAGACACAAAGCACTGAGAGCAGTAGTATAGTGAAATGTTTGAAGAAATGCGAATATGTCAGAATTATAGGGGAGTAAAGTTTGAGACTATAAATGGCAAGAATTAAAACCACATATGAGGGAAGGTTCTAGCATGCCCTTTAAGTCATTCCTTTGGATACCAAAATTTTTAGATTTACACACACAGTTTGTTAAAAATGTTTTTTAAATATATGCATGTTTAATTATTTATATAATTATATATTAACTCCACAAGGGCAGTTTTTATGGCATCTGTTCTATTTATTAATATCTCTCATGTCCATATACCCAGCACAGAGAGGACTCAATAAATAGCTGTTGAGTGAAAGATGTACATTAACCAAACACAGATGAAAATAGGAGTTTCAAGAAGGGGATGGGCTAACAATAAAATAAAATGCAGTTTTAAGGGGTTTCCTAATTGGAATCTCTTTATATTATAATTAGTTTTTATATGTGTTACTGTCATTTTAAATTTATCCTGAATAGGTCCAGTAAATGCATGCACTCACCAGGAGCCGAGGGTAAACAAATCGCAGGCTGGGGCGGGACTTAGCGCTGGTTGGACCGGCGCTGGCGGCATTGAACCGCTGCGGAAGGTCCGCCCGCGGACACCGAGTGCAGGAGCTGCCACGTGATTCCGCACTAATCAGCCACCCAGCCTCGTTTCGGAGCTGTGACTCTTGGGTTTAAATATNGACCTTGTTTACGAGCTGTGACTCTTGGGTTTAAATATGTAGCCTATAGTTGGAGATATGTAATATTTATTTATGTCAATGAAATTACTACGGTGTTCTTTCCAATTNAGCCTCGTTTCGGAGCTGTGACTCTTGGGTTTAAATATGTAGCCTATAGTTGGAGACATGTAATATTTATTTATGTCAATGAAATTACTACGGTGTTTTTTCCAATTTATGGCTTATTCGCTAAAATTTGCTAAAATTAACAGTACATTAATTACAAAAAAAATAAGCAAACCTTGGTTAAAAGCATTTAAAAATTAACAGGGTGTTAATTTTCACATATGACATACTGAATGGAAATCTTGTTTGTTAAACCTGAAGTTCGTTAAATCATGGTCTGCAAAATCGAGGGTTTGCTATATACTGAATGCCAGTAATTACCCCCTTGGATGTTCTTATAATTTATATTTAGTGTTTTGCATGTGTTAAAAGGTAAAAAAAAATGCTGCTACCATACATACTGTTTGTACCCTTCTACAACTTACTGGTCTAATATATTTTGCATATTTATTCATTCTACTTAGTAATTTTTCCTATGAATAATTCATCATTTATTTACTCAGTTATACACTTATCTATTATTTATTTATTCTCTTTTTGATTAGAATTTGGTTTGCTTCCATTTTGGGTTATTATAAACAATATTATTTACAAAGAGGTCATAAAAATACTCTCATTTATTTTTTGAACATGTTCCATAAAGTTCCTTCAGATTATACAAACAAGTGAAATTGCAGGGCCATAGGATAATTATGTCTTAACTTTATTACGTATTGCTATATTGCTACCTAAAGTGATTGTTTCAATTTATATTCCCAACAACAGTGTAAGAAAATTTTCAGTCCTATATAATCTCACCATCTCTCTGCACTTTCAAATTTATTGATTTTTATGATTTTAAAATGGTAGCTCACTGTGGCTTTAATTGGCTTTTTCCTGCTACTAGTGAGGTTGCACCTCCTTTTTATAGGTTTAATGATATTAGAGTCTGTTTTAATTTTGTTCATGGTATCTTTTGTTGTTTTGAAGTTTTAATATTAGTGTAATTTAGTGTAAAATTTATTTAGCCTTTTTAATGCTTTGCACTTGGTGTTGTGCATGTGTGTGCAGTTTTATTTTCTTAATTCTTCTCTACCCCTGCAATTGGTATTTTACAATTAAAAAAAAAGTTTTATAGTTTTGCTTTTCATATTTATGTCTCTAGTAGACCTAGATATTAATTTTTATATACCATGGGGTAAATTTCTAATACTTTTCTATGTGAGCCGTAAATTTTCTCATATAATTTAAGGGATTCTTTCAGTGTACAGAACAATGCCCAGTCAACTGAGCCACACTGGCCAGGGCTATAATTTAAGGGACTTTAGCTTTGCCTTACCTATTTGGAGTAACATCTGTCATATATCAAGATTCCATACAAACCTGATTTTTTTCTGTGTTCTCTGTTCTGACTTATATTTTTGTTTGGTTTGTATAAACATTTCACTTATCAAAACATAGAATGCTGAAACAATTTCCATTTAAAGATAGAGTTACTAAGTTGGGTTATTATGATTTGAATAGAAATTATTCTAAAAGTAGGTATCCCATTCAAGTGTGTAGAATTGGAAATGTTTTCATAATAAAAAATGTATTACTGATAATATTAACATTTAAAGTTATAAATTACTACTACTTTAGAGTTCTTACTAGGAACATATAGAAAGAAAACAAAAGGAAATGTAGTTTTGAAGAGAGTAGGAAATTAATACATCATAGGATATAATTAAAGTTTCCAATATTTCACCTCCTATCTTGTCCTGGAGTTAATGCACATTTTGGACTCACAAGCTCAAAATTTTCCAATAATTGGATGAGACTCTAATTCAACTGGTCCCTCCTATCATCTATGGTGAGGAAAACTTAATGAAGCATTGAGAATACCCCATGGATGAAAACCTATCTAAAAACCTTTTTGAGAGGCAGCGCAAACAGTCCTTCCTCAAACCAATTTATTTATTAGAGTACTGTACCCACTTTAAAGCAAGTATAAAAAGGGGCCAAAAAATTAAATGAAAGAATAAGTAGATGAAGAATGATTGTGGAGAAAAATTTAATGGAACTAATGGAGAAAAGTCCAAGTGAGCCAGGTACTGTTTTCTTCATTAATAATGTTGAACTTCACTTTTAGATGTTAAAACTTAGGGTAAAGTAGACTAGGATGGCTCATAAGATAATAATCAGTACATATAAACATTATAACTCTCCAAAATATATCAATTAAAAATCTCTGGAAAGAAGTGAAGGTTAAAAAGAAGGCCTATGACAGAAATCTATTGCAACTCGAATAAGTGTTGTTCTGATAATGCTACATCAAGAAACTCAACAAACAGGTGAACATTTTAAAAATCTATCCCAGCAGTTGTTTTGTGAATAATTTGGAAAAGTATATTATATAATAATTAAGACATTAATATTTTATATTGATATTACTCACTACTTTATTTCATAATTGCTTTTTATCTTAACCCAAAAGTGAAATGAGAGGATTTCCATTTCTAGCTTTGAATGAAGTAACAGGAACCAGATTTACATTAGTGTCATAAGCAGCCAGAAAACCACAGACTCAATACCCCCCACCAAAGGAAACATCACCCTTCAGCATTGGACTATAGACATCTCAGGACCATGATTACTGAAAGAAGAAAGACTGATGAAGGAAGCGCAATCATTGCCTCAGTTTACTGACTAGAAGCTGTTCTTAGGCTGCAGTGAGCTGAGAAGAAACCCAGAGAGATCCCAGAAACTGCATTAAGTTGTGGAGATGGGTTAGGGATTGGGGAAGCCATGACAACTAGAATTTTGGAGACAGAGAGGAAGAAGTTTCATCAAATACACACTTTGGAGATCTACAGAGGCGGGTCCTCAAGACTTTGAGTGTTTATTTGTGGCATGTACTAGAGGAAATTACTCTGATATGAGAAGAAACACTGGAAATCAGTAATCCAAACAGATATGGGAATAGTTTTTGTTCCTTCAAACAAGAGTAGAAAGACATCATAATATCTGGGACATTGGGTTGCATCCTCACATGAATATTGCCTCAGTAATGAAGTTAAATTAGCCTTACCCTAAAGACTAAAAACAGATCAACTGGTTTCCAAGTAGGTTACCTACATTCACAAACTCTAATACTCTTTAAGGGACGATAATAAAATCTAGCAAGTAAAGTGAATTCACATTGTCACCATCCAATTATAAATTACAAGGCATCCAAAGGGAAGAAAAATATGACCCATAACCAGAACAAGAAACAAACAATGAAAAGAGATCCAGAAATGGCAAGGTTTTAAAAAAAATAATTGATGGACTTTTCTCCTTGTGAGAACTCTCTACCCAATGTAGCTTATTTCCAAACTTGTTAGTGTAATTCTCTTACATTGCTAGTGGAAATGAAAAATGCTATGGCCAACTTGGAAAACATTTTGGAGGTTCTTTAAAAAGTTACACTTACCATAAGATCTAGAAATCCCTAAATGGATTTTCTTAGGTATTTACCCAAGAGAGATTAAAACATATGTGCACGCACATATTTGTATATGATCGTTCATAATAGCCAAGTCATTGATCCAAATGTCCATCAACACATAAATAGGTAAATAAATTTTGATATAACTGTATAATGGAATACTACTCACTAATAAAAAGGAACAAACTACTCACACACATAATATGGATGAATTTCAAAGTTATTACACTAAGTAAAAATAGCCACATAAAACATTACTAAGAATCGCTAAACTTTAGTGACTGAAAGCAAATCTGTTTGCTAGAGGCTGGGACTAGAGGAAGGAAATTCACTACCAAGTGGCATAAGGGAATATGTACATATGGATATATATTTTCTCACACTTATCAAATTATACACTTAAAATTAGTGAATTTTATTGTATGTAAATTTTACTTCAATAAACTGAGTAAAAATAAGTGGAATGGATCTGGGGTAGAGCAAGTTTCGGAGACTTGAGACAGCTTGACCAAATTCTAAGTTCACTGTTTTTAAAAGAGAAACAATTTGGTAGTAAAAATCAATAGCAAATAACAGCTTGTGATAAATAAAGCTTCTTGAATTAAGGTCAAACATGGAAAAGTCTGTTCACATTCAAAGAAAATGTTGAAATAGCACCAAGTAAACTGACATGCAGTAAAACTGGCAAAACAAAATAAACACTACATCAATGTATTAGGAAAGCTAAGATTTTTGCAAGATTAAAGCGGGTTTGAAAATTAAATATATGGTTTTGAGTTCATTACCAGAATGTTTAGGTTTCTGCCCTCCTTTGATTTATATAGTATTAGACACTTACAATGAAAATAAAATTCCAAGGAGAAGAATTGCTTAAAATCAATGACACAGCTCATAGGTCTTCTCAGAGTTGGCACACTCCTTGTGGAAAAAGGCAGTCATCATTTTCATTTTAAAACATTCGGGTGGGCAGTTCCTCCACATTCTGGACAACCAAACTATTTGTTCAGGGGGTTTTCTTAAGAGTTGTTTATTGCTTTTACACAGCAACTGATGCAGTTAGGAAAATATGTTACTTTCAACATCATCATTCTTTATGCTGATTGCATCTTTGTTAACATGAAAAATTTGTATCAGTGACTTTATCCACAATCAAATGTCTGGTCTTTCATTTGAGATACATTCATTCATCCATCTTTTTTTCTTTAAGTAATTTATTCAAGATCTACTGAGCATCTCCTTTGTATCAGATACTCTGCTGGGTGTTGAGGGCACAATAATTAAGAAACTATATACAGCTCTTGACATCAGAGTACTCAGCCTAGAGGAAGAGGCAAACTTTCAATGAAAAGGACACACAAAGTGTTATGATTAGTTATTTTTATAGGTGCTTTTAAAGAATATATTAGGATCAGGGAAGCTTAGAGAACATGAAAATCAAAAGTGTATATATGTAACAGCCAGGCTGGGCATGACTCAGGGGTTGAGCATTGACCTAGCAGCCAGGAGATTGCAGTTTGATTCCTGATCAGAGCACATGCCTGGGTCGCAGGCTCGACCCCCAGTAAAGGGCATGATTATCACAAGCTGATCAATGACTCTCTCATCATTGATGTTTCTACCTCTCTCTCTCCCTCTCCCTTCCTCTCTAAAATCAATAAAAAGATATATTTAATAATATATATATATACATATAATATAGCAAAGAATTCTGAATAAACATTTGGAGAATAACAAAAATCAGTGTATTTAAGATACAACAAAAAGTTGGAGATTAGTCATTGAGTCTTGACAAAAAATTATTTTTAATTTTTAGAAGAAAAGCCAAAGTGACAAAAGCCTTTCATATGAATTCCTTTCTCTTTAAACCATAGTATTTAAACAGTTTTCTTCCCAGGGAGGAGAGGGTCATATTCTTCTGAAGAAAATAAGGATACTTAAATATATTTCACTGTAAGATGTGTTTGCCTATGTTTTTTGAAAAATGCGGTCTATTGTGACACGCTTTTCCAATGAAAACCTTCCCCCCTCTCCTTCCTGGCCACTCCCTTGCTCTCCTTGCTGTTCGGACACTCTGTGGGCCCCCCGCCTGTCCACCGCACGGTGGGGCACGCTGTGCACTGCGTCGCTCCGGGGAGCTCCATGCCATCGCTGTGCGTTTGAGGCCTTTGGTTCTTGGTATGTGAGATAACCCCAGTAGTATGTCCTCAACCTTCCTTTCTCCTGTTCCATTTACGTGTGATATCTCTATTCTCTGTTTCCAGGACAACTCCAGTGAGCTCCAAACCTTGTAGTTAGCTATTTACAACGTATCTCCCTGTGGCCGTCTTGCAGACACCTCAAACTCTCAGTATGTTCCCAACTGGATGGATCACATCTTCTTTAAAGCTCTTCAGATGTCATTTCAAGACAATTCAGGAAACGTCCCCTCAACACTTCTAGAAAGCAGTCTTCAAGGCACTGAGAAACACCGTGATGGTTAAAATAGATTCCTGGCCTGGAGGAGCTGCTCAGCAAATATTTTATGTGATTATTTTCTATCTTCTTTTTCAGCTCTTTCCTGCAATACTAACCGATTACCACCAGAAGCAGATATCAGACACGTACAACAGATGCAGAAAATCACTCTAAAAATGAGAACAGTCACTGGGATTCTTTGATAGTTACCAAGTGAGTGAGAAATTCAGAGATTTCCTTTGAGTATGATTATTTACTTATTTGATATAAATCATGCTTCAATTTTCTTATGAGAAACCATGAACACTTACATGCTTGTGACAGATACAATTTTTTTTTGACTTTTCATCAAATGTTCTCCGTATTAATCATGCCATTTTATTTTCTGTGTTTCTGAGGATTTGGTATCTGGGGCCTGTTGACTCTGGAGAGATTGCCCCTCCCAGTGCTAGCTAATTCCTAGAAATAGGAATTGTAGAGCACACCTGTCATATGTAAATGAACCAATCCCACATCCCCACCAACTCCTCTATTAGGTTTTTACACTCAGGGCCACTATTCCTTTGCCTCACCACTCCAGGGACAGGTACCAGAAAACTAGGAACACCCCCTCTACCTCTGAATCCACTGAAGTTATTCAAACTAGTCAATCCTAAACTTGCCTATCCTGCCTTGCCAGTTCCTGCCCGCAGAAACCACAATAAAGTCTCTTGCCCATGTTTTTATGGGAGGGGGAGAAGGAGGGAGAGATGCTTAACAAAGTTTGAAGGCAAAAAGTTTAATGAGAATTTCAGCGGCCAGTCATTCAGTACAATCTTATGGAATCTTGGTGGGTTTCAAGTACTAGTCTGTCCAAAATGAGGACACCATCTCAATCTTACATCTTATTTCTATTTTACATAGGCTCTGCAAGAAGGAAGGTCTCCCTGTATCTTCCCTTAAACCCAGAATATTGGCCCTGAGAAGCCAAAACCTTCTCTAAATCTATGAAAATAATTTAAAAACCCTACAGAACATTTGGGCCTTTAAAAAATAACTTGCAAAGATCTCTGATGTTTGTGAAAAATTCCTTTTATTTATCACCAAAAGCTGGAATTACTTAAAGCAAATCCGCTTCATTTTTCTTTAATGGAAGGCTCCCAAAAGTCATAGAAGTTCTGAGAAGTCAAGTACTGAAATTTTCTTCAGCTTCTGGGCTATTAAAACTGGATTGAATTATGTTTATTAAATCCATCTCTATATTTTTGGCAATTAGTTTCTCACACCTTGACTTTAGGAATCTGGGAATCACTAACATGTCAAACTTTCAAAATATAGGAGGCTACTTTTTCATAAACCAACATGCCTAATTACTGGTGTTATTTTTTGAAACGTTTCCATTCCTGATCCTCCTAGGATTCATACATGGCAAAAGCATTTAAAATGCCATCTATCATCTGGACCGCTACTTTAAATCCCTCAGGCAAATGTTTTTGTAAACAATTGGCCCTTGAAGGTATCCTTGGAGCCAGGAAACTCATGTTTCATTGGTTCAAGAGAAGAGGCACATTCCAGAGTTGAGGATCCTCTGAGGACAAAACTGTGAGTCAAGGTTTACCACATCATATCTCTCATTAAGCAGCTTGATTCCAATGATGTCATAAATCCAAGGTCAAAACGAACTGTTAAATTTCACCTCCAAAGATCCACAGTTACAGCTTCCAGGATATCTTATGAAATTTTCCTTCTAATTTTTAAAATAGAGACAATGATTATGAACTACAAAATTTGAAAACCAGCAAAATAAGTGTAGAGTTTAGTGCTATAATCAACAAAGGGATAGAGTGAAATGCACCTAACATATGCTGAACAATATACACAATTACAATTACAGGACATAAAGAGTAGTTATAAATAGTAACTAACAATGAGATTGGTAACATGTACATAGCTGATTTAAGCATTTTTAAGTGACGCTTAGAAAGGTGATTGGTAGATTTGGCTAAAAAGGAAACTACTCAGAGCCCCTACTCAATACATTGTAACAAAAATCACCTGAAATGAGAGTTAAAAACATGATTCCTGAACATCACCCCAGTATGAATGTAAGGATACTAGTTAAAATTGAATTTTATATGAATTATGAACAATTATATTCCTATATTTTATTTCAGATAAACAATGAATAATTGTATTTTTAATTTTTTTTTTTTATTTGCTAATGCTGGCAGTATCCAGAGAACAAATCCGAACTTTAAAATCTTGGCCCTGTCACTTGAAAACGGTGTAACATTGGTGAGTTACTTAACCTTTCTGAACCGTGGTGTCCTCTTTGTATATTGTAGGTGATGGTTAGTGTGAGGATTAAATTAAGTAGCTTATAAGAGGGGATCAAAAAAGTGTCTAAAACCTAGTAGGCATTCAACGAATTGGGTTTTGTACTAATTTTCTAGAGTTGCCATAACAGATTACCACAAACTGGGGAGTTTAAAACAACCAGCAAAGTATTGCCTCACAGTTCTGGAGGCTAGGATACCAAGTGTCGAAAGAACAGGCTTCCTTTGAAGACTCTAGGGAGGAATCCTTCCTTGTCTCTTTCTGGCATCTGATGGTTTTCCACAATCCTTGGCATTTCTTGGTTGTAGTGTATCACTCCAATCGCAGCCTCCCCTGTCTTCACCTGACTGTCTTCCCTTTGTGTGTATCTCAGTGTCTCTAAATCTTTTTTTCTTTATAAGGACACCAGTCATTGGAATTAGAGCCCACATTAGTCCAGGAGGTTCTTATCTAAACTTAATTGCATTTGAAAAGATTCTATTTCCAAATAAGACAGGTACAAAGAATTAGGACTTAAATATATCTTTTTGGGAGATGCAGTTCAACCGATAATAGGGTTTTGTTATAACTTGATTAATTCACTTAATCTTTTCTTTCCCCCCAAAATGAAGCTACTAACATCTTTGTCACAGTGGTTGTAAATTTAAATGAGATATTTCATGTGAAAAAGCCTGCCATGTGCCTGAAACACCCAACACAGAAAGTCAATCTGAATTTTCCTTTCAGTTTCATCATTATCAGTCATTACACTTCTTAATTTTTATACATTATTTTAAAATACAAGAGCCAACTCTTCTACATCTTAAAAAATGTTGTAGAGTTTTCCTCCTTTAGAAGTTTGAATGTCTGTGGAGCATCTGGGTAAATACGGCCCCTGTCATTTACATTCACAAATTGAATGTGATTGACTCCATGACTAATGCGTAGACCAAACCCTTCCCTTTAGCTCATGGTGGCTGTTTGTGCTTTCCTTTAGGGAGGGAAAAAGGGAACCTGGGGAAACAGTCATACTATTCTTTGTTGGAGTGACCTACATAAGTGGCTTCCTTGGAAAGATGTGGTTAGTTAAGTTTTCCCTATGCACAGAAAGGAAAGAAGTGTCTTTTCTGGGCTAGACCAAGAGATATTTTTCCAAATTTGGAGAGGAGGACAGGGGTGTTAACAACTATTGTGAAATAGAACCACTTAAACTTCTAAAGAAACTTGAGCCTTGCCACTGGGGAGATAATGAAACAGAAAAGGTAAAACTGAGAGAATCCTAGAGCAAGAATGCCTTTGCCTTGTTTTCAGGTGCAACGCTAAAGGTCATTGTCCTTGCAAAGAAGCCCTACATCCAGAATGGTGCACGATTGTGGGTGGCAAGGGCAGAAGGTTTATGCTGTTAGGCCCCAAAGGAAGCCTCGGGATGCCAGGGAGGCACGAAAGAAGAAAGCCAAAGGGCCTCAAGGGCCTTTAAACTCAGGTAGAGCAGAAAAGCTCTGTGAGCTTGAACATCAGGCATCATATTGAACCCCGGGACCTCGGCAGCAGCGTTAATGAGCACTTGTTGACAGTGACCAAATGGAAGGCATTATATCTTAGTGGATTCTTTTTTTTTTTTTTTAATATATATATATCTTTATTGATTTCAGAGAGAGGAAAGGAGATGGAGAGAGAGATAGAAACATCAATGATGAGAGAGTCATTGATCAGCGGCAGCCCGCAACACGGGCATGTGCCCTGGCCGGGAATCGAACCCTGATCGCTTGGATCCTAGGTCGACGCTCAACCGCTGAGCCACGCCCGGCTGGGCCTTAGTGGATTCTGATGTGAAGAGATGATCAAGAATCAGGTGCCCCTTGCCATCAATGCCATGAACTACTACTTCATACTCCCCGAAACCTCAGGAGTGGAAAGGAGAAAACTCTTAATTATGACTCTTCAACTCACTGACTTTAAATACAGAATTGGTAAATTTTGAGCCTGAATAGATTAAGTAATTACTGCTGAGTTTACTAGGTAGTGACTAGACAGTATTTTCTATTATCAGTAAAAGGCGAGACTGATAAAAGGCCGAGGTCCCGGGGTTCCTTGCATTTGATTAAGGAAAGATGACAAAAGTCACATTCTTGAACATTGAGCTTTGTTTGGAAAACTGTAATCAGTCACACACAAATAAAAGTGACTTCTTTCATTCATCTGAAAGCACTTGAATTTTTTTTCTGTTGCTCTCTGCGCTTCTGATTTCTACTTTTTAAAGGAACAAATTTTCTCTGCTGTTTTTGCACGTAAGTCAAACATGAGTCAACATAATGCTCTCAGTCCCTGAATGTACTTCATCTCAATGTAAGCCACAGCAGAGGCTAGTGTTTTTAATTCTAAATATTAGAGTGCCCCCCAAAGAAACTGATTGTCCCACTAGAAATTGTGTCCACTTATTAAATCACTTATTGATTGGGTGTTGGGATTGGGATCATGTAATATTAGCCTGGTTTTATACCCATAGAAGAGATAGAGAAGGAAGAGAGGAGAAAGAGGAGAAGGGAGAAGAGAGAAGAGGAATGAGCTGAACATGTCAAAAATGCATTTTTATAAAGAGCTACGTATTTGAGGTAGTAGAATGAAATGACTACATTTATAGATAGTTTGATTGACTATTTTCTACAGTCAGTATAAAAGTTAGAAAAGCATCATTAAGGATTAGGAAGTCATTTGGAAATGTATAAAATTCTAATTTCTCCAGCTCAGCAATAGATCCTGAATTTATCACAACAAAGCAATCATTAAAAAGCATCATTTTCTTGAAGTATATGTTATTGATCAACTTCTATGAGCCAGACAGAGTAGGTGCAACATGATGGATATTGGCATTAAAGACATAGCCCATGCCTTTGATTCTAGTGAGGGAAATTTCAACAAGAAGACAGTTATAATGTAAGGTGAGAAACACTATGATAGAAGTAAGCACAGGGTACTCTGAGAGTAAAAGAAGTACATTCAATTCAATAAGATAAACAGGCACAGGACATATTTTCATTTAGAAAAAAGCTGAATATAAACACAAAAAATGTGTTAGTGTTCTTTGAGATTAATTACATCATAAATAAGGTTTCACCTTAATTCTGGACAAATAAAGTATTCCATGTAAATTTTAGGAAATTTTTTAGTAAACTTTACAGTAACATAAAAATTATACATGAACAGACTTATAAAATGTGAGTTCAAGAAGCATAAATTTAAGAAGAGGGTGATGATGATCATCCTGCTACCTCCAGCCAATCACTTGTGATTTTCTCAAACAGAGAGCAGGTAACAATAGTCTTTTCATTAGCTGCACAAGAACAGGCATATAGATCAATAGAACAGAACAGAGACCCCATAAATTGACCCATGCCCTTATGGTCAATTCATATTTGACAAAGCAGGCAATAACATACAATGAAGTAAAGACAGTCTCTTCAATAAATGGTGTTGGGAAAATTGGACAGGTACATGCAAAAAAATGAAACAAAATGACCAGCTCATACCATTCACAAAAACAAACTCAAAATGGATAAAAGGCTTAAATGTAAGACACAAAACCATAAAAATTCTAGAATAAAGCATAGGCAGTAAAATCTCCAACATCTCACATAGCAGTATTTTTGTAGATATATCTTCTCGGGCAAGAGAAACAAAGAAAAAAGCAAATGAAACTGTATAAAACCAAAATGCTTAGGCATAGCAAAATAAATACCAACAAAATGAAAAGGGAACCCACTGTATGGGAGAACATATTTGCCAATAATACATCTGATGAGAGGTTAATTCTTGAAATATAAAAAGAACTTCTGCCACTCAACATCAGGAAGAAAAACAATCCAATTAAAAACTATGCAAAAGCCTTGAACAGACACTTCTCCAAAGAGGACATACAGATGGCCAATACACATATGAAAAAATGTTCAACGTTACTAATCATCAGAGGGATGCAAGTTAAAATGACTATGAGATATAACCTCACACCTGTCAGAATGGTTATCATCAATAAATCAACAAACAACTAGTACTGGTGATGATGTGGAAGAAAGGGAACCCTAGTGACCATACACTTTTTAAAAAACATGTTTTTAAATTGATTTTAGAGAGAGGAAGGGGGGAGAGAGAGAGAAACATCGGTGTGAGAGAGAAACATCGATCAGTTGCCACCTGTACATGCCCCAACCAAGGATCGAACCTGAAACCTGGGTATGTGCCCTGACTGGGAATCTAACTAGTGATCTTTCAGTACACAGTAGAATACTCAACCAGCTGAGACACACTGACCATGGCTTGAGTATATACTTTTAATGAGATATATCCAAAGGATGGAAGAACTTAAAAAAATAAATAGTTTTAATTATGGACTCTTAATTCTATTTCTTACTAAAATAAGTAGTGCTCCTTGAGAAAATGGCTATACTACCTGACTGTAAATGCAGTTTCCACCTCCTTATTAATCATGTCAGGTCAAGCACATTATTTAGCTTTCTTATGCTAAGAAAATTAGGGCTAAAATAGTACCTTACTCATAGGGTACTTCTCAAGATTAAACTAATTATCATGTGATATGTTTGTGGAAATGGGGCCTGACAGTTGGCAGATACCCAATGAACATATGATCTTTCTTTTATTCTTCTTCAGTTCCCTTAAAATGTAATTTGCCAGGAATGTACAGGCTACTTTGGATTACATATACTTGACTCGTCAGCCAGAGAAAGGCTTTGATAGAGCACCCACACTTCAAAGATGGTAAGACTAGCTCTCCCAGTAGACTCATATAAAGATTAGTATTGAGCACCTATTTCATGCTCAACCTTTATTATTTCATTTGAAAGTCAAAATAACCATATGAGGTAATAATTACTATGTCTTTTTTATAAGTAAGAAAACCTAGGCTCAGAAAGAAGTTAAAAACTTGTCCTTACCTTCAAGATTAGTAGATAACAGGGCCAGGATCC